CTGGGAAATTGTGAGAAATTAATAACAAATAAATTATTTATTAGTAAATTTAAGAATTGTATTAAAATAAATATAACGTTATTGTTTTGATAGTTTAGTAAAGAAATTATATTTACTTTTATTTATTTAAAATTTATTTATTTATATTTTATATTTATAAAATGAAATGTAAATTATAATTAGGAATGTTTTAATAAATTTATTTTATAAAAATTGTGCTTGTTTATTAATCATAAAAGTAAATTGTTCAATCAAATTAACCAAATTTTACGTATTGTATCATAAGTTATGATTTTACTTACTTTTCACAAGCCTAATCATAACGTATGAATCATACGGTATGATTCATAAGTTACAATTACTATTATTATATAATAAATGAAAGAGAAAAATAATAATTACATTTTTTATTTACATTAATTAGAAAGAATTTTATTATGAATTTATTATAACAATAACAGGAAATTATAAGATAATAACACATATTAATGCACTGTTTTTGCTAAAATATATTCAAGGATTTTGCAGATCTTAATAGTCCTAAGAAACAGGAATTGTTTTTCTCAAAATATTTTTAATGTTATCATCAATTTTATATTGTTTAAAGAAAATTTAAAACAATAATATTCAGCATATAATGCAAATGTTTGAACACATTTTTAAAAATAACTAATAATTTAAAATATGTTCCGCTATTATATGCAATTTAAACAGTATTATTGTTAGTAACGAAAGTGTTAATAATATATATTTTATTAAATGTTAATAATATATCACTAACAAGTAAGAATAACCCATGGCTTTTTTAAATTAGAAAATAATAATTTATAAACATTTTCTTATTTGCATTCAATTATCAATTTATTAACTCTCAGTTATGTGCCTAGAATAATATAACATATTATGTTATTATAAGTTATTAAATATCAATTATATTAATTATTAAACTTATTATATTAAATTGTGATTTTTAAATTGTAACTTTGAGTTGAAATATTATATTTAAGTTTAATATAATAGTTATAATATTACACAAAAGACATTCCAGAAGTTCCGAGAAATTGTTTTGAGAGGAAATTATTAAAATAAACTCATCGACAGAGCATTGAATTCATATCTAATCCTGAGTTGATTTATGTAAACATATAATCAATTTATTTGATTGGCTCTCAACGCATGATTTAAGTCGTTGTCAAAGTTGTTATAATTTTGTTGAAAAATAGTTTTTGCCAAAAATCGACTTAAAATAACACTTTCATAGAGTCTCTAAACTTTGAAACAATGCATATATTTGTAAAAATAGTTTTATTTGCTTTAACTGTAACTCAAATTAATGGCGTCGACTTCACTGATTGCGGATCAGCTACGGGTAAAGTGACGGCCATATTAGTGACGGGCTGTTCCTCGTCCTCTGATATTTGTGACTTCAAAGCGGGAACCAATGTCTCAATTGAAGTAAAATTTCAGTCGGGTTTGTAATGATTTAATTGTAATTTTCAATATATTTCTTAATGTAATTGTCTATTAAATTGTTTAGAAACCAATTCAAACGCAGCAACGGTTAAAATATGGGGAATTGTAAGCATACTATCGTTATTCATACTTTACAATCGCTTATCATTTAGGAATTTATAAATATTTTCTATAATTTTTAGATTTATTTCTATGTATTTAACAGTTATTAATAGCATTACTAAAAATATTTATAAATTAAATTATTATTATCATACATTAACTGTAATTTAACATTTACCAAACAGATTGCAGGTGTGCCTGTACCTTTTGATCTAAAGCCCAGGTGTGTTGCCTTTGTTTTACAGCAAATATTTATTTAGTTGTTTTTTATTAATAAATGTGATTTTGTCATTGCAGTGATGCCTGCAGTCATTGGAATATAAACTGTCCGATAGTTAATGGAAATAATTATGATCTCAAGATATCGGTTCCCATACTCTCACAGTATCCCAAAATCAAAGTACAGGTTCGGGTGGCGCTCTTGGATGCCAACAATAGTAAACTATTCTGTCAACAATTTCCCGTTCAAATTGATTAACAACTTATATAATTTCGATTTTTTATACAATTTAAATTACACTCAACTCAAACATACAGTATAATTGAGTTATAAATTTACAGTATAAGTCATTTTATATTGTTTTAATAATTTTATTTTTACATTTAACCGTACTTTAAAATTTATATTGTTTAATTTAAACAAATAAAAGATATTTGCAAATGTTTTTGATTTCATTGTGTTTTTACAAGTGTTTCCGAGTGAATCAGTGAGAGAGAGAGAGAGAGAGAGAGAGAGAGAGAGAGCAAACTTGTCACTTATAGATCCTTCGTTCGTGTTTTATGCAATTAGTTTTCATTTGAATGTTATTCTCATAGATATTACACATTAATATCAAATGTATATCATTGACACAATTATACAACTCATGTAATCTTTTAATTTAAGGGTATTTCGGGAATTCTTTGATAAAAAATGTTTTTCAATGATTTTAAAAATGTTCATGTTCAACATTAACTGATGAGCAAAATGCTGTACATGTTATTTAAATCACTTTCAATGAGAACACTTTACATTAAAAGTTGATAAATGTCTATCACTCAATACAAATGATTATACAATTGATGTATTGAATCCCTGACATGTAGTCCCCAATCACATCCATATACTGTAATCACAGTTTATTCAATCATTCATTGCATTTAAAAGCGTTTTTGTAGTCTTTGCAAAAGACTATCGACATATCAATGAAAATAAACTTACTTTAAGTTTATAAGTGGCGGAAGTAAACTTATAAAAGGCCTTAAATTAATCATTTTCTTATTGCAATATACATGTAAAAATTTATAAAATTACAAAAATAAAAATTCTGCACTTTGACAACAATAAAATAAAACTGCTATCAAATATTAAGTTGGCATATATTTTAAATGTTTGTGTTAAGATTAATTGTTATAATATATAACATATTAAATTTAAATCCATATATAATTGATGGTTTAATTAAATGTGTTAAACGGTTTAAGTGGAAATCAATAGATATGAATGTAAAGTATTTAAAAGGATTGAGAGCACAATATCTGTTAATAATAACTGTTTTTGTTTCATATATACGTATATCTATGACAAGAATTAAGTTGAAAACCTCAATAACATTTTGGTAATTCCACTAATCCTTGGTCTCAAGTCTGTCATGAGGTGTCTGTTTGGTTGAAAGGATACGCGACTAAACGTGTGATTACTGTATCTATAAATAAAGCAAAAACTCTCCCAAACATTTCATAAATAGACGAAAACACTGAATATAAGTATTAGTTCATAAACTCGGCGAAAGTTAAACAATATTTCAAATCTTGAAACTGAAGTTAAATCAGAAATTATGAATAGAATATGGATATCAAGTGCTTTTGTTTTTGTCATTACATTTGTATTGATCCACAATTGTTACGCCGGCTTTACTTACACCGTATGCGGTATGCAATCAATTCATAACT